TCTCCCTTCTTTCCCTACTGACCCCCTCCTTCCCGCTCCCACCCCCCTCCTGCCTTCTCTAGCCTAATGTCCCTGTAGATTGGTTATGCATATATGCATATAAGTTCTTTGCTTTATTTCTTCCCACCTCTCCCACCCCCCATCCCTCTGAAGTTTTTTAGTCTGTTCCCTACTTCCATGACTCTGGATCTCTTTTGGTCAACAACTTATTTTGTTCATTATGTTCCACATAAAGTGAGATCATGTTGTACTTGTCTTTCTCTGACTAGCTTATTTCGCTTAGCATAATACTCGCCATGAAAATTATTAATGAGATATTTTATATTTCTTACACTAAATCTTTATATCCTATGCGTATCTTACACACATAGGACATTTCAACTCTGACCATCCTAATCTCAAATGTTCAATAGCCACATGAGGCTAGTGGCTTCAGTCCTGCCCAGATGTCAAAGGTTTTCAGAATTCTTCCTGCCCTAAAGACCCTGAACTATGATAGAGCACTTACTACATACAAATCATAATGTCAGGTACTACAAGTAAAACAGACATAGAGCCTAAAATTTAATGGAAAGGACGTCACAAGTATAATATTTTACTGTTAACTTACAAAAACTTGTACTTGTTTGTAGTTATCTAATATCTGTGATTCTGTGAGTTCTGGAAACATTACAAATTTTATTTATCTCAAAGTAAGAGTAGAAAATGAGTCATTTTCTTTCATCACAGGTCTGACACTTCACTATTCTGCTCCAAAGATGCCCACATGCCTTGGCAATCTTGTTCATTTCCCTCTTTAACACATAGGTGTTTAGCAAATTAATCACTGATTTATTGGTGGAAGAAGTTAAACTGCAATCTGCAATCAAGTTCTCTGTTGGATATTAGAAAGACCTCAGGACATCTTGCCAATTGATTAAACAATGGTAGGATTTCAAAGAAGCCCTCCTTTTCCTTCTCCCCACCCCTCCAACGATAAGTCATTGTGCTGTCAAGCTTCGCTGGCCCAAAGCCTAACCAACCAAAGGCAAAGTCTTCCTTTCAAATATACATCAGAGCAGAATCTGTAAAGAAGGCCCCTAGGAATGAAATTTGAAGTTTCATTAAAAAATCTAAAGACATAATATAAAGACACTCAGAAAATGTTGCAACTAGAGATTGCAATCAAATAAAAGTATTAACTTTGTCAGGTGATATTTCCATTTAAAAAATAAATCATTACTTTAAACCTAAAGTGTTCAACAGTCCCTTTCTCGATTTTGTTTTTGCTGATGATTTTTTAAATTTATCATTCCAGCCAGGCCAGTGTGGCTCAGTGCATTGAGCATCATCCCATAGACTAAGAGGTCCCAGTTCAATTCCTGGTCAGGACACATGCCCAGGATGCAGGTTCTATTCCCAGTAGGGGGCGTGCAGGAGGCAGTCTATTGATATTTCTCTCACACATAGATGTCTCTCTCTTTCTCGTCTTTTTCTGAAAAATCAATAAAAACGTTTTTAAAGAAATACATAAAAAATTATCATTCCAAATTCCATTTTTTTCCTCTCAAAATAAACTAATGTTCACAATAATGAAGCTTCTAATGATAGCCATATATTTCCCATTTAAGAGAAATCAAAATGTACCCTATATCCTATACCGTTACATCTATTAGCAACATTCTCTGAGTATACATCACTAAAGTTACATTTTACCTCCAAATTATCCACGCCTCAAATTCTATGTGACATTTGTAGGTACAGAAATAGGTTTCTACAATTTTAAGAGTGTACTTTAGCATTGAACTATTACCAGGGGATTTCTGCAATGTAGAAGTGCTAATGGACACCCCAAACATCCACCCCAAAAAGCTTAATGTTGTTTTGCAAAAAAAAAAAAAATGCATTTGGAGAACATAAGGACCTCAATTAGTGAGAAAAAACATTATCCTGCCTTGTTGCTTTCTAAGAGACATTTTGACTTTTAGCTTTGGCACAAACTCCACATCCATACATAAGGGCTGTCCATCGTCCCTCCCATGCACAAACAGCAAGCGGGTTTACGCAGCAGCAGAGTTTTCCAATTTAATAGTCTCCCAGGGTGAAAGGAAAGATGGTTGTACCTGACTGGAATATCTTCAGGGATTTTCAGTTGTCCAAATTAAATTTCAAACTAACAGTTCAGTTTTTATTGGCCTCTTCTTCGTCAGAGTCAGGAAGAAAAGAAGAGTATACTAAAACACCCTGTAAATGTGATGTTTATGAAAAATATTACTCATGGCAGTTCTGTAGCATGTTTCCGAGGTCTCATGATTTTGATGAGAGAAAAATATTCAGGGATTGTCTGCTATGTGCAAAGCACATTCGCAAGGCGCTAGACCAGAAGCGATGCAACAATGGAGTGTTTCTGCATTTTCCAAATGAATATATTATACATTTATATAAACAAAAAAACTTTGGAACAGCTTAACATTTTTCTTTGAAAAATAATTTCTAAGCATGTGAATCTGAACCATCTCTCAAGAGATGATTAAAACTGGTGGAAAAAAAAAACAACATTATTAAGTCATCATGAAGTAGACTCAAAAGTCCCATGGGGTGGGGGGAGCTATACAAATCTAAATCTGACCTTCAAGTATCTATTTGCCAAGGAAATGAATGAATTTTTGTAATAACAGTTTAAGTGAATAAGTCCAGTTCAGTCATCTATTTATTTTCAAAATTTGAGAACCTGCCTTGGTCACTGATCGATCCTGAGGGTTTTGGTACTGTTACAGCTGACAATATTGAAAAGCAGTTTCAGACTGCCACCTCTCATTAAAATGCATATTCTAAAAATAAAAATCTAACCACTGTAATATCTTTTTTAAATAAAATATTTTAGCTATTCTTACACACGCAGTTGATAAAACAGAGACATCTTATTTGATGCAACAGCCTTTGCCAATACATTTTTAAATCTCGATAAAATGTTGCTTTTATTTGCCCTGTCAGACTGAGACAGGCCAGTAAGCCAGGACAAGTGGAAAAGGGAAACAGACAGATAGCTGAACAAACTGGCCGAGCAATTTACAGCAGATACAGAGGTCACCTCCCTAGAGATAACATCTAGGTCTCAGTTGTATTTCAGCTCCAGGCTCAGAAAAGCAGCAAAACCAGGGAGGTGACACAGGACCAGCTGCAATTACTAACAATCCCCTGCCCTGACACAGACCAATCAGTGGGGACCACGGCCCTGGAGGACCACACCTAGAAAACTGATGCATCTTCTGTTAAAACACTCACCTGAGACCATCCTTAAGATACCTGCCTACAACAGACAGATAAAAGCCTCAAGACAAAGGACCCAGCTCGTCCTCTTCCTCTGGTGAGCAACCCACACCATCCTCTTTCCTCTCTTTTTTCCTCCCTTCTTCCCCCACAGACCTGCATCTCCTAGACTCTGAAAGACCCCATGAGGCTTGCAACCAGGGCAGCAATGGGCAACAGAAGTTTATCCCAGGCAAACCCCCTGAACCTGTCCCCAAGGCCCCCTTTCCTCTGACTTCTTAGCGAGCCAAAGCAGACCAGTCCAGGCTCATTTCCCCAGCCCTTCCTTGTTTCACTGTCCCCAGCTTTAATAAATGTCCTCTAAAATTCACCTGGACTCATGTTGTGAAACTTTTCCTGCTGTAGCTATTTGGATTCATCAAGTGACTATAGCAACAATTCTCTGGAAGTTCCAATTATTTTTAGTCTGCTAGAGGACTGCCCTCACATTGGATGTATATTTGAGTTAAACACATGCAGCTATTTACTTTGCACAATAATCTCACTGTCTGCCGGTTATGTTGTTTTGAAAACCAACCTTATTTTGCAGACAGACACTATGGTGATCATGCAATGGTTTTAATAGATTAAACAATTGAAACAGAAGGATCAATAGAGCTTAGCAGAATAAATGTTAGGTAGCATTTAGGTTTTGTATATGCAACAAGCAAATCTGTAGATGGAGTTCAAAGATTAGAAATTGAGTTCCCTTTTCTCCACACCCTTGCCAACACTTGTTGTTTTATGATTTGTTGATGGTGGCCATTCTGACAAGTGTGAGGTGATACCTCATTGAAATCAATCAGCCAAAATATAAATAAATGATGTTATAGAATCATACACTTGGAACTTTTATAATGTTATTAACCAATATCACCCCAATAAATTTATTTTAAAAAATTAGCCAAGCTCGGCCGGTGTGGCTCAGTGGTTGAGCGTCAACCCATGCACCAAGAGGTCACCTGTTCGAGTCCCGGTCAGGGCACATGCCCAGGTTGTGGGCCCGATCCCCAGTGGGGGGCGTGCAGGAGGCGGCTAGTCAATGTCTCTCTCATCAATGTTTCTATCTCTCTCTCCCTCTCCCTTCCTCTCTAAAAATCAATAAAGAAAATAAAAATTTAAATCAGCCAAAAGTATACAGAAAGATTATCAATGCCTAAAATTTCAGCATATGTGAATGTTATTCCTTCCATCTTTCTCCACTGGTTTCATGAAGCAGAAAGAAAAAGTCAGAGCTAAAAAATATAATCCTGTGAATGTGTAGTAGCAATGACATTATAATAGCTGGATATACAGTATTGTAGAATAGGAGGAGAACGTATCTGAAGTATTTGGTGATACTGTCTGAAAATGTCCAAGTGCCAAAAGGCCAAATAACCAAAAGAGAGTGGCAGCCAAGTATAACTGAATCTTTAATGGTATTTTAAAACACCACGTATGTATTTATGTACAGAACTAATAGAGCAACAGCAATTTATTTTCCCATGTATAGGGTGTGTAATGTCATAGGAAGGTCATAGTATCCTGCCACCCTTGATGAGTAAACCAAATTGCTATTTTTTAATTGATTTTTAGAGAGAAAGAAAATGAGAGGAAGAGAGAGATAGAAACATCGATGAGAGAGAATATTGATTAGGGGCCTCCTGCAAGCCCCCCACTAGGGATCGGTCCCACAACTTGGGCATGTGCCCTGACCAGGAATCCAACTGGTGACCTCTTGGTGCATCAGTTGACACTCAACCGCTGAGCAGCACCAGCCCGGCAACCAAGTTGCTTTTGGATGGTTGTAAACAAAGGAGCCATTTTACAGGCTCCCTGCTCTGAACATTCCCCAACAGCGATTCTTGAAATGAGCTTTGTAAACTGCCAATTCTATCAATTTTTTTCTATTCTTTCCTTCCCCTCGATTAATTGGATTTACTTGAGCATTTTTACGTATTTTATGTTGCTCTATCTATGACTGGCTGAAGCAGTTACAATGTTTGTGGGTTTCAGGGTCCTGCATTATAAAAAAGCAGAACACTAAAATATGACTTCTGTGTTATCACATCAAAATAAACCAAAACTGTTTCTGAAGTAGATTGCAACTCTACTGGCTTCTGGGAGAGAATGAAAATTTGAGAAAATTGCTTTTCCTGTCCTGCTATAGAAAAGGAAAAGTTGTGGCGATTGAAGTGGCCTCTCTGGAGGTTGCTTTGTGAATCCATTGGTATCACTGTTAAAACACTGGAACCAGAACATAAACTTACAGAATTAATAGCAACACGTGTGCCACTAACTGGTTTTCATTGTCAGTACGTAATTTGCATTTTGAGACCAGTGTGAGCTCATGCAGCAATCCCATTTTTTTATTAAAAATTTTTCTATGATGATGATAACTAAATTTTCTTCTATGATCATAATTTTTTGAAAACCTCACAACATGGAAAGGCATTCTTTTGGACGAGTGTTTTAAATTTTTATAATGACTCTGCTCAAGTGAAAAAAGCAGAGACAAACATATCCATATAATCTTTGTACACTGTACAAAATAATAATAATATTAAACTAAACCATAAAATTAATATATAATGTTTTATATTGAAATAATCTGTAATATTACTATGTCCTATTTTATCAAACAATTGGTTATGGGTAAGAGGAAGAAAGAAAAAAAAAATGATCAATAGTATGGTAGACAAAATAAGTTGCACATAATTTTAAATGCATATACAGGTGTGTGTATGTGTTTGTGTCTGTATATATATAGATGTATATATTTAGAATAAATTTTTTTTTTGTCACCCAAGGATTTATTTTTTCATTGATTTTTAGAGACAGACTAGAAGGAAGAGAGAGAGAGAGAGAGAATTGATTGGTTGTCTACCATACACTTCCCAACTGGGATCGATAACACTACCTAGGTGTGTTCTATGACTGGGAAATTGAACCGAACCGGAGACCTTTTGGTGTACAGAAAGATGCTCCAACCAACTGAACCACCTGGTGGCCAGGGCTAGATAAACTTTTGAAATACAGATCAAAACCATCCTACATAAGGTTGTGAAGATTAAAAAATCAAAGGACAGTAAATACAGATGGCACAATAATTCACTACCAAAAAAAATTACAAGTTATCTGTATTTGTAAAATAGACTGTTTTGAAGGTATATTGTGCATACATGCATTTGTGTGTGTGTGTGTGTGTATGTATGCAGCTGTGTAAATCCTAAATAGCTTATGCCCAATGCTTTAGTTAAGTGCTAAAACTATGAAATACTAGGACTGCTAAATTGGGCTTTGATTATTTCAGTTATTAAACTAGACTCATTCAATCCCTATCTCTATGTTTAAACTTTATATCAAAGAATTGAGCCACTTAATTACTGAAAGCACCTTGTGTTCACAGCCATAGTAGGACAGGACTGTTTTATAATTATCTGGTGAATTTGAGACGATCTCTAAAATGTATTCAGTTAAATGTATACAGCTTGTATTTAATGTAAAATTTTATAAATTATACACATCTGCCAGGTCTATTAAGACATATAGAACAATATTTTACAAATATGCCGAAATTTATGGAGTGAAGAGTTGTATTTTCAAACATACATACGGTTTTGGGACCAATAGATGAAATAAGCAAATTATAAGGAAATAGAAACATATTGTCAAATATAGAGCTATTATCAAAATTAATTTTGTGCCCTGGCCGGTTTGGCTCAGTGGTTGAGCATCGGCCCGCGGACCAGAGAGACCCGGGTTCGGTTCCCGCTAAGGGCATGTACCTTGGTTGCAGTTTGTCCCCGGCCCTGGTTGAGGTCGTGTGGGTGGCAACAAGTCAATGTGTCTCTCTCACACCGGTGTTTCTCTCTCTCTCCCTCCCACTCTCCCTCCCGCTGTGTCTGATGATAAATGCAAAAATGTCCTCAGGTAAGGATAAAAAAAAATTTACTTTGCGTGGTTTCCCATTCGAACACTTATCTATGCTGTCACTTGATATCTTAGACTACTATATATATAATAAATGCACTGTGGAAATATGGCAAATTATTAAAAATAAATTGCCAATTTCTTTAACAAAAGCACATGGGTTTAATACAAATATAAAAACTGTAATGCAATTGTGGCAAGAAAAAAGTGGTATTTGAAAACCAACATTGTATTTAAATGGTCTTTTGGTTGTATCAAGCATCTTACCCAACAATATGAAATTTAAAATGGAAAGGAAAAGCTTCATTTTTAATGTAGCCTATGGCTTCACTTCTTAATATTAAAGCACTTGTTTTTGTCCAGCTTAAATTAAGATGTGATCATCTTTGAACAGTATTCCCTTGTTTTGTTTTCAAGTTGTTTTTTTTTAATAAACCAAGTAATTCATCATGTTCCACTTTACACTTGCTGATCCAGCAATCAGTCAAGCTGCGGTCCCATACTAATATGACATACTAATTTGCAATGTTAACATGTTGGTAAATGACACGAACAAAAAAAAAAATGGGATATAGAATTTTTAAAATGTATGTAAAATTCAATGTTACTGATTACCAATAAAATCCTGCATGCCATTCAAATCAAATTTCTATTTAATTCATTTTTGTGAGAAGACTGTTAAGAAAAATGGACAAAGTTAAATCAAGTCAGTGCAATTTTCTACCTCCAACTCTTTCTCCTTCTGTGAATAATAACTATAAGAATTCTATAGAAGGGGGCATTTGTATTCAGACACAAATTAAATAGATGATGATGCCCAAATTCCCAGGGAAAATTAATGGTAGAGTAATAATAAATAGATGTATATTGGTTATGTTATATAAGAAAAAAATTTTAATCTGCTAAGATATTGAACACAAAATCAATACTGATAAAACATCTTTGGGAACAATCATCGAACTGATGTCTGCTCTGTTTATTACACATATATGCATAATAAATATATACATCCATATATACACACGTTCATGCATAAATATGTTTATAGTTATTCCATATATACATACATATTTATATTGTGCATTTCAAAATTTTATTTTTGAAGCTATCTTTAGAAACATTAAAATAATGTTTTTACATCTGTACTTTAAAATTATTCTCTCTTTTTTTTTTTTAATCCTCACCTGAGGACATTTCTCCATTTTTTGTACAGATAGAGTGGGAGGGAGAGAGAGAGAGAGAAACATCGATGTGAAAGGGGCACATCGAGTGGCTGCCACCCGCACGACCAACCAGGGCCGGGGACAAACTGCAACCGAAGTACGTGTCCTTAGCGGGAACCGAACCCGGGTCTCTCCGGACCGCAGGACGACGCTCCAACCGCTGAGCCAAACCGGCCAGGGCAAATTATTCTCTTTTTAATATGTATTAATCCTGGATATTACTGCCTTTCACATTTTACCCCTGAGGGCAAAGAAAAATATGAACAAAGTAGAAGGGCAGTACATTAAAACAAATATAAATAACTAAGAACAATATAGATATATTGTCCTCTCTTTATTAATAGATCATAGACACTAATAGCATTTCTTTTTCTTTATTGATTTTTAGAGAGGAAGGGAGAGAGAGAGAAAGAAACATCATTGAGAGAGAACATTGATTTGCTGCCTCCTGCATGTCCCCCGCTGGGGATCGGGCCCAAAACCTGGGCATGTGCCCCGACCAGGAATCGAACCAGCGACCTCTTGGTACATGGTTTGACACTCAACCACTGAGCCACACTGGCTGGGAGACACTAATAGAATTTTAATAATGAAGTTACATATCACATACCCTGCTGAATCATGGCACATAAACACTAGTTTTTACATGTGTGCAAATATTAACTATGATCAAAGTATTAATAAGTTTTTGACATATAAAGAAATACTCAACATCACTAATCATCAGAGAGATGCAATTTAAAACAGCAATGAGGTTATCACCTCACACCTGTCAGAATGGCCGCCATCAACAAATCATCAAACAAGTGTTGGCGAGGGTGTGGAGAAAAGGGGACTCTAGTACACTGCTGGTGGGAATGCAGACTGGTGCAGCCGCTATGGAAAACAATATGGTGCTACCTCAAAAAGTTAAAAATTGACCTGTCATTTGACCCAGTGATCCCACTTCTAGGAATATACCCTAAGAAGCCTGAAACACCAATGAGAAAATATATATGTACCCCCATGTTCATAGCAGCACTATTTACAATAGCTAAGATCTAGAAACAGCCCAAGTGTCCATCAGTAGATGAGTGGAAAACAAAGCTGTGGTACATATACACAATGGAATACTATGCAGCTGTAAGAAAGAAAGATCTCTTATCCTTTGAGACGACATGGAGGGACCTGAAAAGTATTATCCTAAGTGAAACAAGCCAAGCAGAGAAAGACAAATATCACATGATCTTATTTATTTGTGGAATATAACGAACATAATAGTCTGAGGAACAGGGTAGTCCCAGAGACGTGGAAGTGGGGTACAGACTGACAATCCCCAGAAGAGGGGGTGGGGGCTAGAGAAAAACCACAGAACTTATATGCATGTATGTATGAACAATGGACATGGACAACAAAGGTGGGGACAGGGTAAGGAGGGTGGGGGTAGCGGGGAATCAGTGGGTGAAAAAGGGGAAACGTTTGTAACAAAAATAAATATATTAATTTTTAAAAAGTTTCTGAAATGGCTCTCACAGCTACACTGCATATATTAACTATCTTTCTGATGAAGGTTTCTTATTCTTTCATGAATAAATAGTTCAGAGGGAATGACTACAGGTTTTATTTTAGTAAGGTACATGTGCACGTAGATACTGTTATCCTGACTGAAACTTTTTAAAAGTAAAATTGACTTTCTTCTCACAAAAGTACCAAATATTA